GGTTTTTCTGAGAGGTGATATTTCTGACCCAATCGAAACTGGCTTTGCTTCTAGATCCAGCAGAGTAACCCATTTGACAAATTTTGCCAGTATCCTCAAGCTTAATAATAATTATTAGCAATCGCAAAAGTAAAATTTTGATAGAAATAATACTCACTCGGACTGATTTTCTAATCTCACATTCCTTCATAATAATCTCATTGACCCAATCTAGAGTCCCTTTACTATCCTCGGCCATCCAATTCCTAGCCACCAACCCAACAATCTCTTTGGTTTCTGAATCGACAAAAATGATGTTTTGGTCCTCGGCAACATCTAGTTGGAGATATTGTTGTTCTAAAAGTAGCATCGGTGGTACTTTAAGCCTTTTATCTTTCGGTTTACCAAGCTGGAGGTGGTCATGCCAGATGTCATGGATTTGCTCGGACTCATACACCCAATGGCTAGGTGGAGGGTAGGGTGTTTGAAATCGGGTTACCTCCACAATCGTAAACCTTTCCAAATATTTGTCTCTCCTTCCATCGTCCTCTTTAAGATTGCACCACTGAACAAATAAAGCTTTAACCCTTTTAATTCTTTCCTTCTCATCCTTCCTCTGTTTCATCGCTTCCCTCAGCTCTGAATGGGTACTCGGCTCCTTCATTTGTTGGGGGTGGTTAAGGAAGGCAGCAAGATCATTGAAAATGCCATCGGTAACTCCATCGGCAATATTAATAAATTCTCTCTTGATCGAAGAAACAAGAGAATCAATATTATTATCTCTGATTTTCTGCAAGAGAGAGGGTCTGCTAGCTATATAGATAGCAATCTCATTGATGGCCTTTTTGTATGCCTTCGGAGGTGGTATTTTTTTGGATCGGATAGGAGGCATCGGATTTGTAGAAGCTGTATGTGAGTCAAGGATTGACAAAGGAGGGGAAGTAAAGGGTGTTGTGAGTTGTACTCCTAAGATAGAAGGATATCTAGGGCAAAGAACCCAAATATTTGACTTTCTATCTTATGGATTGAACTCACAAGTGAAGGGTGTTGTGGAAGGGAAAGGGTGGGGAAGCGAAGGGTGTTGTAGAAGCTGTATGTGAGTCAAGGATTGACAAAGGAGGGGAAGTAAAGAGTGTTGTGAATTCTACTCCTAAGATAGAAGGATATCTAGGGGCAAAGAACCCAAATATTTGACTTTCTATCTTATGGATTGAATTCACAAGTGAAGGGTGTTGTGGAAGGGAAAGGGTGGGGAAGCGAAGGGTGTTGTAGAAGCTGTATGTGAGTCAAGGATTGACAAAGGAGGGGAAGTAAAGGGTGTTGTGAGTTGTACTCCTAAGATAGAAGGATATCTAGGGGCAAAGAACCCAAATATTTGACTTTCTATCTTATGGATTTGAACTCGCAAGCCTGAATGAAGGATGTTGAAGGGAAAGGGAAGCGAAGCGAAGTGTGTTGTGAAAGAAAAGGGGAAAGAGGGGAAGCCAGCAACAACGCGCCCTACTACACCCGCCCTACTACACCCGCTCCCAGGGCCCAGCACCCGCTCTCAGGGCCTGCACCCGCTCCCGTGATCCAGCACCCGCTCCCAGAGCCTCCCAGGGCCCAGCACCCGCTCCCAAAGCCCAGCACCCGTTCCCAGGGCCCAGTACCCGCCCCCAAAGCCCAGCACCCGCTCTCAGGGCCCAGTACCCGCCCCCAGGGCCCAGCACCCGCCCCCAAAGCCCAGCACCCGTTCCCAGCACCCGCTCCCAGGGCCTGTACCCGCTCCCAGCACCCGCTCCCAGGGCCCAGCACCCGTTCCCAGCACCCGCTCCCAGGGCCAGCACCCGCTCCCAGGGCCCAGCACCCGCTCCCAAAGCCCAGCACCCGTTCCCAGGGCCCAGGACCCGCCCCCAGGGCCCAGTACCCGCCCCCAGGGCCTGCACCCACTCCCAGGGCCCAGCACCCGCTCCCACAGTCCTCTCCCATAGCCAGCGCCAGCTCCCAGAGCCTGCACCCGCTCCCAGGGCCCAGTACCCGCCCCCAGGGCCCAGGACCCGCTCCCAGGGCCCAGTACCCGCCCCCAGGGCCCAGGACCCGCTCCCAGGGCCCAGTACCCGCCCCCAAAGCCCAGTACCCGCCCCCAGGGCCCAGGACCCGCTCCCAGGGCCCAGTACCCGCCCCCAGGACCCAGTATCCGCCCCCAAAGCCCAGCACCCGCTCCCAGGGCCCAGTACCCGCCCCCAGGGCCCAGTACCCGCCCCCAAAGCCCAGCACCCGCTCTCAGGGCCCAGTACCCGTTCCCAGCACCCGCTCCCAGGGCCCAGCACCCGTTCCCAGCACCCGCTCCCAGGGCCAGCACCCGCTCCCAGGGCCCAGCACCCGCTCCCAAAGCCCAGCACCCGTTCCCAGGGCCCAGGACCCGCCCCCAGGGCCCAGTACCCGCCCCCAGGGCCCAGCACCCGCCCCCAAAGCCCAGCACCCGTTCCCAGCACCCGCTCCCAGGGCCTGCACCCGCTCCCAGGGCCCAGCACCCGCTCCCACAGTCCTCTCCCATAGCCAGCGCCAGCTCCCAGAGCCTGCACCCACTCCCAGGGCTCAGTACCCGCCCCCAGGGCCCAGGACCCGCTCCCAGGGCCCAGTACCCGCCCCCAAAGCCCAGCACCCGCTCCCAGGGCCCAGGACCCGCCCCCAGTACCCGCTACTAGGCGCCAATTTCGGATTCTATATAGATGTCAGCATGGGTGTTAAAATATCGGAGGTGGAGGTGGAGGTGGAGGTGGAGGTGGAGGTGGAGGTGGAGGTGGAGATGGATCCTCCCTCCCAGATACATCTCTCAAACACTTTAGTCCTAGCCAAACTGTCATATATTACATGTACTTTATTATCAATATACCAACTGATTTCATTGTCCGAACCGGCCGAAGGCCGGAAGCCACTTGTACATGTATACATCTGTATCTATCTGAAAGAAATTCTCTTTCTGTAAGCTGGTTTGCTACTAACTAGCGCTATTAATGTCCAGCTTTTGGAACAGGGCTTGAGACTTGCACGTCCGAGTCATATCTCGTTGAGTCAAGAGATAACTCGAAATTGGGTTTTGATTTTGAGATGAGTCTTTGCAGGGAATATTAAGAACCTGGCGCATGCCATACAAAATACGCCAAGCTCATGATTTTAGGTGTATGCAATTATGGCCCAGTTCAAAAACGTCAGTACATAAGTGAGTAATAAGTGGTTGTCTTGGCGTCTCTCACTTATCTCTTTAGTTCCTATTTTTTCTGTTGCCCCACCAGTCCAGTCGCCGCCCCGCACAGAAGCGGTAACATCATTCCTCTCATCCCTTCCTTCTAACAGTCCAACATCAAACCTATATCACCCCCGAATTCAACGTTGGTTTCATCTTTTTACAAGAGCAACACCTTTTATTGCTAGTTTCGCTTTTAAATAATTCCTCCGACAGAAAATCGCAGCAATGGCTCTCAGAGCTCAGGTTAGAAATTCCCATTGAAATGCCACTACAACGTCCCCCTTCTTGGCTTGGTTTTAATGGTGAACGTTGCTGATTCGAAGGTGGTGATTTTGCTTTAGTTCGAGAATTCAAATGAGTACTTTTCTCTCTCGCCGGCATTGTATTGGTGATCTTGGAATGGGCAGTTTTTACTTACAGATAATTACAGAGTTGGTGTTTTTGCGACGCTTACAAATTCGTACGCGCTCGTCGCTACAGGAGGGTCGATGAATTTCTACAGGTACGCACTTATTTAATATACCCGGATAAATATGGGCTTGTGGAGAAAAGGTAGATGGAGGGGTCTGAAGCTGATTCGGGGTTCATTTAGTGTTTTCGAGGCTGAATTGGCGGATATCATTCCTATATGCCACACCACCATCGCCGGAACCAGAATTGTTGGAAGATTGACCGCCGGGTACGCAGTTCCGAAAGAGAAAAGCTAACTCTACCCCAAAGTTTCTTCTAGACAAGATAAGAAGGAATAGTGGATTTGCAGGGGACGTGCTAATGCATAACCTCGCAGAAACCGAAAAGGACTCTTAGTTCCCACTTCAACAACTGATCAGGAGTTGCAACATCTCAGGAACTCAATTCCCGAAACAGTGAAAATTCAGCGTATCGAGGAACGGTTATCAGCGCTTGGAAACGTTATCTGTTGTAACGACCACGTCGCATTGGTCCATCCCGACATTGAGCGTGAGACGGAGGAAATCATTGCGGATATCTTGGGGGTTGAGGTCTTCAGGCAGACTATCTCCGGTATGCCTAATTTATACCCACATAATTCACTGGATTATTCCGCGTCCCCATTGGTGCAGTTGCTTACACTCAATTGTAGAGAACGTCCTTGTCGGCTCTTACTGTTCCCTCTCCAATCAGGGCGGTATCGTCCACCCCAAGACCTCAATAGAAGATCAAGACGAGCTTTCATCGCTTCTTCAAGTCCCCCTAGTCGCCGGTAGTGTTAACCGTGGTTCCCCCGTCGTCGGTGCAGGAATGGTTGTCAACGACTGGATGGCAGTTACTGGACTTGACACCACTGCGACAGAACTGTCAGTTGTGGAGAGTGTCTTCAAGCTCGGAGAGGGCATGGGACCTGGAAATGTCCAAGGATCACTGAGAGATACAATGGTGGAGACATTTTATTAAAAAGCAGAAGATGTTCGTGGCTTCAATTCTCCTCTCTCGCTCTTTCACAAGTCGGAAACTAACAATAATTTTTCACCACAGAAATGATTCTCTTTTTTTTGTAAAATTTCTTTTCCTTATTCCTCATCGGGCTAGTTAGTAATCTATTAGTCAAATAAACTAGCATAAAAATGTATTACAGTTGGGAAAACCGAACGAGCAACCATACAGTACCACATCTATTTGCTTTCATTAATTTGGCTAACCAGTAGAGATATCCTATGTTGGCTTTGCTAGTGTTTTTATAGCAGTGCTACCAGATGTGGGTATCCAAAAAAACCACCATACCGGTGATGGGATTAGATGTCTTCACAATTATCACTCACCACTTAAGATACGACAACGACAAGATTCGAACTTGCGCGCCCGAAGGCATCCGCTCGACTGTACCGCGGTATCGGTAATAGCAGGCGAACGTGTTAACCACTCCACCACGTTGTCTTGGAATTAGCAGGGTTGTATCGGTTATCAAGGGCGCGTGCTTTAGTGAACCTATTCGAGACGAGTCAAACAATAGCCTACAAGTACCCAGCTCCAATGATGGATACCTTGAAACAAGGCGGTAGTTCTTTTTACCCTACATGTATGTTTGTGATATACCCTACTACATTTACATGTATTCAATATTGCCATCTTCCGGCTTCACACAATTAATCAATCAATACCTTATTACTCACTCATGAAATATCACTCGCTCAATCCAATGTTTCACAAATGATGGACCGAATGCAATGTCTGAGTCGTAGATCAGCACCATTCCTGCTACACATACATTAACTCTGATTTTTTCATCCATCAATTTCCATCTAGCTTTGAACAAAGGTATTCGTGATATGATGAAAGACCCCCGTGAAAAAGCAGCTGGTGGTGATCATTAAGACCCCGGCTCCTGGAAATGAGCCCAGAGGGCCTTAAACTATTCAACTTGAGGTATTCAGGGCCTGGACTAGGTATTCGAAGGCGAATTCGCCTCAATACTACATTAACTACCAAACTTTATGGCGTCGTCAAATAAAGCATACAAGTGTAATTCTCCCTAGCGGATCCCAAATAACCAAACACTCACAAGAGGAAGCATAGATACGTGGATATACATACACACACATGTAGTTACGTAATTCGGAGGTGCTACATGTAGCTTCAGAATTCTATCAAAGAGTAGCCGTACCGCGAATAACGAATAACGAATAACGAACCGGACCGGAATACTGGGCTTAACAAATTCTTGTTGAGCCTCGATCCGACAGACCCAAAGCATAGCTTTCAATTGATCGCCTCGACCAATGGGTAAATGGTATTCCTCAGAGATAGGGAATGCCTGTATCGTCGGAGGGCCGAACGGGGTTCGTCTAAGCTTTCCTTAATTCGTTGCCCCTCCCTAGTACGCCCTACAAGAGACTATCAATCTTATTGAGTCTGGGTAATTAAGTAAATTTCGTTCCGCGGCGAATCTTAGATGGAACTGGGAGCGGATTTTGTTTGGTGAACTGAAACTACGTATCTAGAAAGCGTCATTATGCAACCGGCGAAATACGCGTATCTCGTATTTTTGTACAGTTCGGCGGCACGCCCCGCGAGGAGTAAACAATCGGAGCGGGGGTTAAGGAAGGTGGGTGGTTCGGGGACCACGTTTTAATGCGGGTCGGGCCGCTGCTGCAGCTCTAATTTGCAACCAACCCATTCGTTAGGTGCGAGAAGTGACGACCAGCCGCCTTGGATTGAACGCACTCCTGGGCTAAGTACTCTACACACCAAGTAAGACGTGCACCCCGAAGAGCTCGCCTGATCACTTCCTTAGGTATGATCAGATACCCTTAGTCATCATTGGCAATGATGTCTCATTAGAAACTTTAGGCCAACGATCGATTTTGAAAAATGCTATTTGCCACCCAGCAAAACGGTTCCCGCAACTAGCAGTTTTGAACCCGGTTTTGTATGGAGATCGGCATGGAACCATCAATTTTGCAACCAACATTTTTCAAAATTGATGGTTGGCCTAAAACTTCTATTTGGGCAAATTGCTCATGTTTGATGGAATCAGGTTGTCAAGTAGTGTCTTGGCAGCCGAGTGATGAATTTTGAAGCACTGTTCTTGAGACTTAAACATGATGATAACCAAACGAGGTCTGGAACAATACTTTAATGCCAGGATCTATTTAAAATCTTAGGTAGGGTTGTATTTCAACCAAGATAAAAGAGGGGTTGAAGTAATTGATAGTTTATATTGTAGTTTAGGGGTAGAAACCATAAAATTACATACAAATAGCTTCCCTCAGGTTACCCTCACCATAGAAGACCTCCCGGGCCATTCGGACACCCCCCTCACTCGGACAGTCAACCATGATTGGCTGAAAAGAGGTATTGAAGCCACTTAAAACGTTGATCTTTTCTTTTCTACGTCAACTGTCCGAGTGAGGGGGGTGTCCCAATGGCCCGGGAGGTTGTCTACTATCATTATGAGTATATTAGAGGGGGGGTGGTTCGTTGTTGTTTATTTTGCCGTAACCCTAGATATAGGTTCAGGCCTTCCATGTCTAAGATTGGCAAGGCACGGGTTTTATAGGCCTATAGGCTGGGCTATGACATGCAATTCTCAAACCTTGGTACGAATTATCTCTAATTGTAAGGGTGCAAAATCATAGCCTCGAAATGTAAGCTGATCGTTTTTGTAGACATCGGCCTTCATTAAGAAAGTACATGTGCGATGATTGGAAAAGCTGTTAAAAGTTTAAGGATGTGTCTAGAAAAACATGGCTATTGTGACGTGATTTTGGGCCTTCTCTTACCGCGTATATTAGTATTTAGTACATGTAGCCATAGGTAAAATGGACACTTCTAAGTAGATTTTCAAGCCACGAGATCCATTTATGTGTTACTAGGATTACACCACTGTATGCACGCGATTACCTTACGCTCCTGCTTTATGATCTTTCGTACTCGTATCTTCTAGCCTCCTCTCCCCGCTTTTCGGACAACCACCCAAGCCTAGAAACTTCTCATACACACAGATAGACACACATTTAACTCACAAACATCATGCCCCGCTGCGTCCCTTGCGAGCGAGACTTTCACGACGAGGTCGCGCTGAATCAACACCAGATGTACAGCTTATATCACAGGAATAAGTCTACTCTACGTCAAATACGTAGGCAAACATTTGCCAACGAGGGGATCCCCAAGGATTACAACAGTACTTCTGGCTATGCCAGAAGAACGCAAACACGACCAAAGCCTTCATACGATTCAGCGCCACACTCGCCCCAGCCTGAGGTAAAATATACCTGCGGAGACTGCGAGGGTAACTTTAAAAGCAAGCGCGATCTGGAACATTCCTGTAATGCCCGTAAGAGAGATTTAACCAGCACAGACAGTCTCACACAACATGGATCAATTCAGATTGGGCATAAATTCCCATGTGCTTTCTGTTATCCACCCTGCGGCCGCAAATTTGAGACACTAGAAGCTTTGGATATACATTCTAGGGCCGTCGAAGAAAAAAATGAGCTGAATATCGCTCGCCATACTAAGAATAGGTGGTCGATCATACAAGAGACGCCAGAAGCTATCGAAAAGTTGCGATCAATGATTCACAGCAAAAAATTGTTGGAAAGATCTGGCTATAAGTTGGAGCCACTTACTGAGGAGAGCATCAGTGACCTGAGAAAATGCATCAATTGCCATGGTTGGTATTATCATCATCAACTCTCAGAGATAAAATCTAACCAATTCGCTTCTCAGAAAAACGCTTCAAATCGAAGGCCAGGTTTAACACAACTTGCAGGTTTCACCCAAAGAAGCCAACGAAGAGAGTAAGCGCAGCCCTCAAGTTCAAAAAGAAAAAGTCATGCAATACTAACAAACACAGTTTAATAGAAGGACGGGGGTCAGAGAAATCTTATTTCCTTGTTGTGGTCAACTCGAAGGGCCTGATTGCGAAAAATGTGTTGTCAACGACCAGCACATCTACGAGGATTTCGATACGTTCGCCGAAAAGTTGACATTCGTAAAGACGCCCGGCCCCTTCCCCGGTATACAGAAACGGAAGGCAGTGGCTCTAGACTGTGAAATGGGAACTTCCTACACAAACAGCAGCGAGCTCATCCAACTTAGCGTAGTTGACTATTTCACTGGTGAATCATTGATCGACATGCTCGTCCGTCCGAAAGTTCAGTTGCGAAGCTTCAATACCCAGTACAGTGGAGTTACCCGTGAAATGATGGCGCAAGCTATAGCATCTGGGGAGTACTTGGATGGGGTTGAAGGTGCCAGAAATGAGCTTTGGAAATGGATTGACAGCACAACAATCCTTATTGGACATTCTCTTCATTGCGACTTGCGCGAACTACGTCTCGCTCACCCTTTGATCGTTGATTCTTTTCTATGTGTTCCCAAAATCAAAGCTTCGGGAAATGGTTTGAAGAGCCTCATGGAGGAACTTCTGGGACAAAAAGTTCAAGATTCGAAGTCGGGACATGATTGCGTGGAGGACGCGCTTGCGTCTCGTGAACTGGTAATCTGGTGTATTCAAAACGAGGACCGTGTTGCAGAGCGAGCAATTGTTTCTCAAAAGGAAGAAGAGATAAGACGTCAAGAGCGGGAAGCTAGCAATATCCTAAAGGAGGAAAGACTGCGTCTTAAGCTCGAACAGGAGCAGTTGGATGGCGTATTAGAGTCATCTCATAGCTCTTCGGCACCTATCCGTAGAGTAGGGGAAACGAGGGAGCATGATTTCTCGAACCTGCAAAACGAATATCACTCACAAGACCCAGATACATTTTGGTATTGAGTGGAAAGTTTATCCGTAAACGTTCAAACGTATGTATATATAAAGGGATAAAACTTGTACGTAGATAAATTGGGTTTGACTAACTGATATTACCCAGGAGCATCATCGAGTGAGAAGTTATGAGTGGGGGGGTGGGGGGGGGCTGAGATTAAATGTTTATGAATTCCTCTTTAGTTACTGGTTCATCTATACACCGAATGTACGTGTTTTACGACAAAAGTGTAAATGTATGTAAAATTTAAAGTTGCACTCTATTTCGTATGTACTGTCATTGCATAAATCTTATACGCCGGCTTCTTACCTGGTCGATATACACCGGTTATTATTTACACATGAGTTGCTTTATGCACGCAAAAACAAGAACCTCCTGGGTCTTAAAGGAGTTGCGGTACATTAAGCCAGCTCAGATATTTCCGACAGCTCCAATCTCACAGTACTACATGTATACATGTAGTCATGCATTCACTCTCTTGTTACGATCCCTTAGTGTATAGCTTCCAAGACTTTAGCGCCTATGTACTATACCTGAAGCAGAGATACATCATATATGTACATACATGTCTAGGACTACATGTATCAGACTACTATCAGTAAAATAAATATAGCGGCGTGCTAGCCTTTCTACACCAGTATCTTATTGGACACATCGGCTTTA